CTTGAATATATAGGGGCAAGTACGACTCTAATGATGCATGTTTCTAAGCATGATACAGATACATGTGATTAATGTTTCACTAATTAATCCTATAGTAAACAGTCAATATGTTTTGCACTTTCTATGTCACAATCAATGATTAAGAGTAGTAAGTTATAGATTATAGATTTCAGATTTTTTTGTTTCTCTTCTTTAAGCGAACTACCAATATATAAGTGTTTAGCGTTATAACTAAAGGATTAATAGTAAAGGGCACTACGTGACACAATTATGAACATATGAGAATACGGACATAGAATTCATATTTAATATTTAATATTTGACAATAGCATTGCTTAAGGGGTGATTAATACGTAAATTGTGTTTTCATTTTGTTGTACAACATATAGCCACTATGATGCACGTTATTGACTACACAATTAGCATGACTTGTGTTTAAGAATATAGAGTTGTAATGTAACATTTGATAATAATATGATGAAGCAAGTGATTATCAAGAAAAAGGAGAAAAGAGAAAGTTTATTTTTTTTTAAAACTGTGTGTTTTAATAAACTATAAGGTTATAGGTTCAACTCTTAGAGGCAAGTAAAACTCCACATGATGCGTGTTTTTTTAGTTTTATACAGATATACAGGAACAGCGTTTCACTAAATAATCCTATTGTAAAATGTCAGTATGTTATGCATATTATATGACATATTTCATGACTAAGAGAAACAAGGTACAGATTATAGAATTTATAAGTACAGGGTCAAGATGTGATATAATTAGGAAGAAATAAGAAGATATGAGAATGAGGATGTTGATTTGGTTAATATCACTGGGTTGTAGGTGTTAAATATTTAAATTCTAATTTAGTTTTCGTGGTAAATTATATAGTCACTATATGGCACATAACAGATTACATAATTAGCACAATTTGTGATCAGTTCTTACAGATTCGCTTTTTAATTCTTGACAACAATGCTAAGAAGCTGATGACTATCAAGAGAAGAAGGAGGGGAGAGAGAATTGAAGGCTTTTTTTTTGTTGTTTGTCGAATAATGCCCGAACGTATAACGACTAATATACACACTCAAGGTATTAAAATATAGGACATCCATGTTGAGGTTCATTCATAAACTCAGAATACAAGAAATTAGGTGAGAATTACCTCACCTCTAAAGATTACAAAATTTAATGTTGAAAAATGCGAAGTTATGCATTGGGAATAAAGAATGCAATAGCAATGTATACCCTTAATGGAAGCAAATTAGGGATAACAACACACGAAAAGGACTTGGGAATTGTTATAGACAACAAACTATGCAACAATGTGCAATGTCAATCAGCAGTGGCTAAGGCCGGTAAGGTATTGTCATGCATGAAAAAGGGCATTCATTCTCGGGATGAGAATATCATTTTGCCTCTTTATAAATCGCTGGTAAGACCACATATTAAATATGCTGTTCTAAAGATGGATATTATGGCACTAGAATAAGTGCAGAGGCGGGCTACAAAATTAATAAAAGGAATGGAACATATCAGCGATGAAGAAAGGTTAACGAACTGAAAACTCTTTAGTTTAAAAAAAGTTGCCTGAGAGGATATATGATAACATTATAAAAATATATTTGGGGGCCAATACAAACCATTGTGTGGAAATATTCATAAACTGGACTTTCCATAGGACATGAGGGCATGCTTTTAGACTGGAAGAAAGAAGATTTCGTCTAAGGCAAAGAAAAGTTTTTTCCTGTAAGAACAATAAGGATGTGGAATTCTTAGCCTGAAGAAGTGGTTTTATCAGAGTCCATACAGATGTTCAAACAGCAACTAGATGCATACTTGCCAATACAGAATATTCAAGGATTTAATTTTTCAATGTCGGGTAATAGCTTCTTGATTCAAGGATATTATGGGGTCAAGAAGGAATTTTTTTCCTAGTTTGTTGCAAAATTGGAAGTGCCTCAAACTGGGTTTTTTTGCCTTCTTTTGGATCAACAGCAAAAAACAAATGTGAGCAAGGCTGAACTTGATGGACGCAAGTCTCTTTTCAGCTATGTAACTATAATTATGTAAAGATGTAACAAGCTAGTTTATACAATTCTGCTTAGATGAGATTAAAATAGTTTCTTTGCTATTTTGTTTTCTCTTTCAAGGGAGAGAGAGAAAATAGGAGAGAGAGAAAAGGAAAAAGGAAATAACAGTGTAGCCTGTCTTTGAAAGTTGAGTGATTCTATTGATGATTTTTTCAGCCCTTCTTGATGCCTGCTATAAGGCATATATCTCGTTTTGAATAGATGCTGATCAGAGCAGGAGTCTCCTCAGGGGATTTCTGGACACCCTGGATGGGTAGTATTTTAATTGTGCCTCTCTGGGTCTTTCTGAGGACTCAATTGTCTTGTTTTTATGTTGTATGTACTTCCTGTTGTCGAGTGGTGGAGCTTGGGCCTCAGTCTTTTGAAACTTTTGACTATGGTTAGGTTCCTTTTGATGAATGCTCAGGCTTGAATACCATGAATAAAAGATCACAATTATAGAATTATCTTGTGAAGGAGAGGGTAGATATTTGTTTGTTGCAAGAAACACATTGACGACAAGGGGTAAGGTGAACTGGGGGCGAGGGGTAAGAGATATCCAACTATTATCCATGCGACTATGTGTACAAAATAAAAGAGAGCAGTTGTCATCTCAAACAATATTAAATGGCAAAACGTATACCAAGGACTAGATGCAGAAGGGAGATTCGTGATTCTAATTTGCAAAATTAATTATGTGAAATACACTTTAGTCAATATATACCTATCTAATGTTGCCCCTGTACCATTGTTAAACAAAATTTTAGATAAAGCTGAACGGGTTAAATCTGATCTATATATTGTGGCGTGTGATTTTAACTGCATACTTGATCATGAAATAGATAAAAAAAACTTCTTAACCCCTTAAGACCGCAGCCAAATGTACAAGTTGTGATCAACACAAAATGTAAACAAAACCTGGCATTTGCGCTATATGTCTGTCCAACCGTAATTCACCTCTTTCATATTAAATGCACCCACACTTATTGTATATAATTTTATTCAGGGGAAACAGGGCTTTCATTTAACATCAAATATTTAGGTATGGAACATTATGAATAAAATATAAAACAATGGGAGAAAATAAGATTTTTAAAAAATGTTCTTAGTTCTACGTGACGTTCTAACTGTGAGTGTCAAAATACTGTTTGCTATTACTGCAATAAAATACACATATTTGTATTCAGCGATGTCTCACATGTAAAACAGTACCCCCTATGTACAGGTTTTATGGTGTTTTGGGAAGTTACAGGGTCAAATATAGCGTGTCACATTTTTCAGTTTTTTTCACATTGAAATTTGCCAAAGTTAGTGTTAATATTTAAAAATGCAAAAAACTAATTTAAACGAGAATTTTGGCCAGTGTATGTGACTAAGTGGCTACTAAAAAAGACTGAACATACCCCATTTGCAATACACTAGGTTGTCTACTATTGCAAATGGTATGCCTTTATGGGGGTAATTTTCATTCCTGGGCTACCGTACGTTCTCAAACGACGGCGTTTTGAACATGCTGAGACGCGCGTCGAGCATTTTCTTTTTCTTTAATCTCTGCACTTGGTAGCACTTTTGTATTTTTGTTACCACTATGGTTATTGATTTTTAGGTGTTTATTTATTTCTTTAGAACTTTAGTAGGGAGAGTTGGTTCAGGTAGACACTAGTGGTTAGACCACGGTGTCGAGGTAACTTTTAGGGTGAATTGAGAGATTTATTTAATTATTTATTTTTTGTGTGAGGCTTTTCATCTGCGTTTAGACCTTATTACCCCGTCCCTTGTTCTCTGGGGACCCTGTGCTTCTTCTCTCTTCCTAACCTCGTTTACACTACCTTCCTGTCAGTCGGACGCTAGGGGAACTGGAACTTAGATGCTAGCTAGCACTCCAGACAATTGATCCCCTGGGCACCGTTTAGTAGATCTCCCTTTTTTTCGAGTTATACTTTTTGTTTGCATATCCCTTTTTATCCTTAGATTGATTAAAGGAAGGGCCTCCCTTCCTCATTTCTTATACAGTGGAGCTCTCTTAGTGTTGGTTTCCCCTTGTGGGACTCTACACATCACCTACTCCTATTACCTACATATTTTGGAGGGTTACCCCCTCATTGGAGCTCCCTATTAGGTGGTTACAGTGGTGCAGCTCATGAGCCTTTGACTTGTATCCGGACTCCTGACCTGCATTCTGTTTACTTTATTTCTCCATTTTATATAAATATATATATAATGAAAATTATATATATATATTTAATCAATATCATTGTACGTGTATTTTGATATTAATATATATATATATATAATTATGTATATATTAATATTAAAATACACTTAGACAGTGTATGTGTATGTGTGTATATGTGTGTGTATATATACTTAGATCATATATATAATAGATATATATGATCTAAGTATATATTATTTATTGATCTAATAGTTATATATATTATCTAAGTATATATTATTTATTTTTACACTGTTTTAACTTATTTTATTTCATTTTCAGACAGCAGGGGGAGTACCTGTCATTACAGGCACTCTCCCTGCTGGCAATGCCTTGGACGGTCTTTGATCACATGGCCCAGAGGGGCCGAAGAGGACAGAGGGGGACTCTCAGGTAAGTCGATCGCTGGCGACTGGGTAAGTACAAAAGATCGCAGGGCGTTCAATGCCGCCCTGCGGCATTTAGAGCCATCAAAATAGGGATGGCATAGAACGCCCTGCGGTCTTAAGGGGTTAAGGGAAGTCTGGTAAATAATAAAATAGTAAAATATGCTAAAACATTAACTAATACCCTTAATAATTTTGATCTCTTTGACTCTTGGTGAGTAGTGATGTCCCGAACGCTTCGCCGAATGGTTCGCGAACGGTTCGCCACGAAAGGTTCACCACGAACGGTTCGCCACGAACTCATCATTGAGTAAACTTTGACCCTGTACCTCACAGTCAGCGGACACATTCCAGCCAATCAGCAGCAGACCCTCCCTCCCAGACCCTCCCACCTCCTGGACAGCATCCATTTTACATTCATTGTGAAGCTGCATTCTTAGTGAGCTGTCCAGGAGGTGGGAGGGTTTGGGAGGGAGGGTCTGCTGCTAATTGGCTGGAATGTGTCTGATGACTGTGAGGTACAGGGTCAAAGTTTACTCAATGATGAGTCCGTGGCGAACCGTTCATGGCGAACCGTTCGCGAACCGTTCGGCCAGCCGTTCGGAACATCACTATTGGTGAGTATTTAACCCAGCCCTTAGAGAATTTACACACCTGTCAATAGTACATTACACATACTCTAGAATAAATATGGTTTGGGGCAATATGAATTTTCTCAATAATTTGAAAAAAAAATCAATATTATTGATAGATAATATATGGTCTGATTACAGCATTATCCTCTTTGAAATAAAAGATGACTTTCCAATAAAAAAAAATAGCTCTATGTGGAAACTAAATAATTACTTGTTATTTAATAAAAACAACAAAGATTATTTAACCAAAACGTTTGATTGCTATCACAGAGAGAATGATCTCTCTGAACACATCCCACGTAAACACTTGCTGTGCCTTTAAAGCGGTAGCGAGGGAGTACTTTTTTAAACTGAGCCATGAGCTACGAAAAAGAAAGACAAAGATCCAGCGGTTTGATATATTACATTATATAATCTCTCAGCAGAGAATAAAAAAGATCCTTCGGCGGTAAAATCAGAGGAAATAAAGGTTATACAGGAAAAAATTTACCAATGTATAAATGAAAGGATTGTAAAAAATATAAACAGGTTAAAATTAAAATTCTACTGCAGAAGAAATAAAATGGATAGGATGATGTCCACTAAGCTCAGAAAACAACAAGCTCACTCCAAATATATATATTTAATTTATAACCTTTATTTATTTATTTATTTTAACTTTTTTCACTAGCATGGCAGCACTGTGGACACCTATTGCGGTCATGTGACCGCTATTTTACAGTGGTCACATGGCCCCTGGGTGTCCTAAATTGCAGAAGGGTGACGATTGGTAAGTACATGGGGAGGGAGGGAGGGAGGAAGGGTAGGGGTCAATTTAAATGTACGTCCGCAGTCATTAAGGGGTTAATGTTATATGATATTAACAGTTGACTCTTAGATGCAATTATGGCTTTGTATAAATGTGTGACATGTCATGATTCCCTTTTATTCCAGAAGTTTGGTCCTTAAGGGGTTAAAGAGGTCACAGGTCTTATATGGAACATAAAAAACTGAAACAAATGGAGGTGCCTATTGAAAATAATAAAATTATGAATCATGTCATCTCCGGGTGGCAAGAGATTAAAAAGTAATTAGGTATACAATACCGTGTTTTAGACTTTCTAAGTCTTTCCGTGATAGAAGATAACATTTCTAACCTATTATTGAATAGATGGGTAATGGGTGGTATTCATAGCCTAGATCAATTGTTATACCAAGGTAAAATTTAACCCTTTGAATCCCTGTCTCAAAAAGTTTAACCACCCAACTCAGAAATTTTTCATATCTTAGAGTCAAATATATTTTACAAAAATACTTGTTCCAAGTTAATGATTATAGGATTAAGATTTTAAAAACGTTATGTTCCAATGAAATCACCTCAAAGATATCAGCTAAAGTAACAACTAGTATTTATATAGCACCTTTCTCCCAGTTGGACTCAAATCGCTTTTCAGCGCATGCTCTTAATTAAGCAAATCGGCAGCTGAATAGTAATAGATTATTACCCAATTGATGGTACTCATTTTATGGACCTTGGAAGGATGAAGGGCTGAGTTGAACCTGCTGGGATTTCAACCTGTAACCTTGCATTTTTGAACAGGCTTTGTAGTCAGGGAATTTACCAACTGAGCTACCTCAACGGCAGCTGTGATGAAACTAATCAGAACTACAAACTATATGGATAACTTTTCCCAATTGTCAAAATGGGAAATGGAGCTCAATTGTGTGTTAGACCACCAGGAATGATGTAATGCTTTTAACTCTACTCGTAAACAGGTCCAATGTTTAAATTTAGTTGAAATGTATTATAAGGCCATAAATAAGTGGTATTTAGTGCCGACCAGATTAGCACAGATGTACCAAAACGCCTCTCCGTGGTGTTGGCGTTTGTAGGTTCAAAGAAGGCACCTATCTGCACATTTGGTGGAGCTGTGATGTTATTAGGAAGGCTTTGGACTTGCTTTTTTCATATATATTTATATGATATGACCAAGATATCACTAAAAAGGACTCCCCAGACTGCATTACTACATAAGCAGTGGCCCAATATGTCATGTAAGAATGACATTTTTATTATTCATTACTTTATTGCTTATAAAATTATAATAGCTTGTAAGTGGAAACAAATTGGGGAAATAGCTTGCGACACAATTACAGCTAAATTAATCTTACACTTAAAAATGGAAAGAGATATAAGTATTCCTTTTTTAAATGCCCCAAAAAGATATGATATGTGGCAATCTTGGCTTATGCTAGCATAATTCATCAATAAGTTCAGTAAAACCATTCTGATAAAATCACTTGTAGCATGTTTCACCAAGTGCCCAGATACCCACCTCCTCCTCTTGGGAAAGAATATTCAAATGTTTAAATGAATGTTTATTTGTCAATTTGTGCTTAGATATGAATACTTTGCTGTAATAAGCTGAGCGGTTTAATGTTTGTATTGTATGTTTGGAGATGTATGATTCAATATCTTTTTGAAAAATAAGAAATATCGAATAAAGATTATTTAAAATAAAAAAATAAATAAAATATAAATAATTACTTAGAAGGTAAGGAAGACAGCCAGATATGGTTTGGAGATGTGATAAGAGGTATGCTATTTTAACTTTTTCCTATATTGATTAGATCTTCTAGTGCATGAACTGAAGGCCTGACACAGTGAATGGGGAAAGGTAGCTCAGCAATTGTGCAGCTGGGTGTGGAGCCCCTGCAAACAGTCGGCCCCACACTTTGTGGATTTCACTATGGCAGAAGGCAGGTGCCTACTCAGCCCAAATATACTAGTCTTGGGTAGAATGCAGTTTCTATTTTCCTGCACAGCAGGAAAAACTTGAGCTGCATGTAGTGATGCTAAAGCCAAGATGTGATGTCACTCTGGCCCCGGCATGAATTAAAAAGCACTGTGCAGGAAGATACCAGCAGCCACCACTGGATCTCAGGGATAGGATCCACTCCAGGTGTCCCTGGGAAAGATAGGAAGGCTGGGTGAAACTCGTAGAATAAATGAATACAAATAATTTGTGTTTTCACGTGTGTGTGTGTGTGTGTGTGTGTGTGTGTGTGTGTGTAAGAGAGATAGTTTGTGTGTGGTTGTGTGTGTTGTTTGTATATAAGTTTGTGCAAGAATGTGTATGAATGTCATGATCTTGAGCAGGTAAGAGACTTTGGCCAGTGTTAACATCAGAGTCTCTATTGGTGAATTTGGACATAATACAAAAATAATGAAATAATAAGGAGAAGGAAAATAAGAAAAGAAGACTTTAGTGAATCAACCCCCTCTTCGAAGGAGTACTGATAAAGTATGGAAATAACACCTTACAGTATTCGAGGATTGGAACAGGTTAGTATAAAGCTGGTTGGCAGGTTAAAGCAGGATAGAAGTGTAGGCTAGGTTGGTTTGGAACAGGTTGGTATAAAGCTGGTTAGCAGGATAGAAGTGTAGGTTAGGCAGGTTTGCAACGAGTTGATATCAAGCTGGTTAGCAGGATAGAAGTGTAGGTCCAGAGGAACGTTTACTGGAGGCAGGAACTGAAGTCTTTCAGGATGAGCATCAACTTCATGGTAAAGGCCATGTGGTAAGTTGGGTGCAGCTTTTTGTAGCTCCTTGATTAGCCCAGACAGGTGAGGATGACGAAGGTTAGTGGTTAGGGAGGCCACTAGGGCTGGAACTAGTTATTAAAGCAACAGGAATAAACGAACATAAACTTAGTTCTCAGGATAGGATCCTTACAATGAATGTGTGTGTGTGAATTTGTATGAATGTATGTGAGAATATGTATGTATATGCGCAAGAGAATGTGTTTGTATTTGTGTGGAAGAATGTGTGTGTGTGTAATGTGATTTCGATTTTAGACTTCTCAATAAAGATTGGACTTTTAAAGGCTGTGAGTGCAGCTATCTCTGTGGATTTATGGATAAACTGAGCCCTGGCTTTTAAGCACCCGGCACTTAAGGGAAATTGGACCATGAGTGCAAGAGACTGACTATATATATATATATATACTGTGACAGAACCATCTGTCTATTTATTGCGGTGGATTCGTCTGCTTCTGCCCGTTCGTGTAAATGGCTGTTTCCTATAGCCCAGCCATTCGAATGACTTTTTTCCCGAACAAACCTACCGAACGGACGGCCACCCAGGAGAGAAGTGTGCTGCTGGTTAACCTATTGATCCCAATTAGAACGTTGTGGTTAACCGCAGACACTTCTCAATTAAACCGAATTCAGGGTGGTCGTCGTTCGTTTGTCGACCACGAGGCAGCGGCCATTTTAAACCACGTGAAAGCCCAGCGGTGTTCAGCTCTATTTTCATGGAACTAAAAACAGACACTCTTTCTGCCGAACACCGCTGAAACAACGGAACGCCGGGCTGCCTCCACGAAAGAGTACGAACACCGGCCGTTCGGGAGGTTTACATCACACGAAAGGACTTAACTCAGATAGCCTTCCCATGGAGTCATTCGTATACCGAAAGACTGTAAGAACTTTGACTCCATGGCGATTGAACTGTGTGTGTGGGATCTGAGCGCTATTCGCTAAGAATATGCACTCAGATCCAGGCTATCTGGGGATATGTGATGCAGATGGGAAGTGTTCGGTTATTTTAAAGTTATGTATTTTTATGTATTTTCTGGTTTTATATTTAAGATGGCGATTGTCTTTATCCTGGAGATAATTGAATTACTTCTTAATTATCTCCAGGGCAGAGGGGAGGAAACCATAGTGCATTGTGGGTAAAAGCTGTGACTGTATGTCTGGAATGTCCCCATGTCTGTCTGTCATTACAGTCTCCCATTTGGTCCCCTAGGGGAATGTACACCAAGTGGGAGACCTGCATAAATACGGGCAGGTAGCCCACAGTAAAGCCAGATCCTGTTTGACCCTCAA